ATATATATATATATATATATATATATATATATATCGTTCTTATCTATTTTGGTGGGGAAGAATGATGGTAGATGATTTTTATATTTTAAGTAAAAATATTAAGGTTGCTTATATGTCTTTTTTGTTTGAAATATGATCGACCTATAACACTACATTAGTTTCAGCTGTGCAACATAATGATTCAGTATTTATTTTTATTGCAAAATGGCCATAACAAATCTAGTTAACATCTACCACCGTGCTTAGCTAAAAACCTTTCCCCCTTGAGATGAGAATTTTTAAGATCCACTCTCTTAGCAACTTGCAGATATAGAATACATTATTATTACTGTAGTCACCATGCTGTACATTACATTCCCCGGTCTTATTTATTTTAAAATTAGAAATTTGTGTGTGCTTACCTTTAAGTCTTTAAGTCAACTATTGGATAATACTTTCGTGATATTTTTAATGAAAATGTGTTACTAAAGTAGCTATTCTAAACTATGATGTTTAAAAGGAATTCAAAGCCTTTGTTGTCTGCTTTCAGATTTCCTGGTTGCCTACACACATTGGTTAAATACAAATAAAATATTCTCCCATGTTTCTTTTTCTCTTATTCCTCGTGTGTGTGTGTGTGTGTGTGTGTGTTATACACATATATATGTATGTATATGTCATATCTAGGAGAAAGAAAATGTTATGCTTCTGGTGGAGAATGATTAGACTCTGATTAAATATTACATGAAGTCACAAATTTCATATGTGAAATGTATGAAATTGTATAAATTCTATGGAAAATTTCATTAACACAGTAATAGAGGAGGCAACTCAGAAAGAGGTGAATGCTATAATGGGATCTGTTGTGACTTTAGTACCAGATGATTCTATTCATAAATATTTGGAATACTTTTTATGTACTAGACTTGCTAATAGTCTTTCAGAGATAAAAACACAACCCGAAAGGCACTAAAAGACTAAAAGAGCAAATGAAATAATGAAAGTTTGGGTAGAATATAAAGGTGGCAAATGAAGAAGAGGATGAATCAAAGAAAGCTTCCTTAGGGCTAAAGTCCTCTAAGTTGGGTTTAGAAAATTTTGTAGGTGATATCCAAGAAATTTGATCTAAACTTATTTTATTTCTAATTTACGGCAGTTAGTGCTCTACCCACACTTCAGTGAATTATCTATTGAAAAAATATTCTGATTCCCTTAGTGAAGTAGTTCTCAATCTTTAACCCCAAACCCTTTTCTTCAAAGAAAGCCTTTTGGGGAAATAAAAGCAGTTCTGAGGTGAGGAGCAGCGTTGTGGTTGGAAACACCAGAACCTTGTGGAAGCAAAGTCTTTTCAATACTTCATTTTGGGGGGGTACATAACTCAAGAGTTTAAACAAGAAGTGTAGTTAAACTTCTTTTTGGGTAGGGTAGGTGCCAAATGCTTTGTTGCGGTTATATCATTGAGTCCGTGGAGTCAGTGAACCTTTTTAAGGATCTGTTTTACCACTTCAGCAGAAGTGTTGGGATCAAAATACATATGATATACTAGTGAGAGTGAATTAAGTCAGTTCGGTACTATGTTCTAGGTACAAGGTATGACTGAGGCACAAAGGCCTCAAGAGGGCACTTTTTAAAAAATGTTTATTTATTTTGAGAGAAAGAGTGTGCATGTTTGCACGAGGAGGGGAGGGGCAGAAAGAGAGAGAATCCCAAGCAGGTTCTGCACGGTCAGCCCAGAGCTGGATGTGAGGCTTGATCTCATGGTTCATGAGATCATGACCTGAGCCAAAATCAAGAGTTGGATGTTTAACAGACTGAGCCACCTAGGTGCCCCTTAAAGATTTTTAAATAATAGCAGAGTCTTTTGCTGTGGATGAATTAACTTCACAGATTGTATAGAAGTCCATAGTTCTTAAAATACATAGCAGCTCATTATAAATTTACCATAACCTTCATTAAAAGTATACTTTGGAAAGAGGTTTTGGCAACTTGTAAAACAGGTTAAATGTGACGTGTTCTCGGAGCATGAGAGTGGCATTGTTTGAAGTTTCAGTCCAGAGATCATTGGTATTTTTAACCTGGCTTTTAACTGGTTAATCTTTCTTTCTGTCTTTCTGTCTTTCTTTCTTTCCCTCCCTCTGATCTATTAGGAGTTAAAGAATGCTGAAATAGCGTTAAGAACCCAGAAAACACCACCTGGACTCCAACATGAAAACACAGCTCCCGCCGAGTAAGTTACTGGATTTTCTCACTTTAGGAAAGCAAAACAGTACAATATATAGGCCAAGAATTTGTAGTTTACTATGTAGCAGGCCTGGGTTAATAAGCACTTGACATGGATTTCTCCTTTTAATTCTCACAATAACCCTAAGAAGGCAGTCCATTATCTTCATTTTATCGAAGGGTAAGTGATGGCTAAGATCTGAGCTTTTAACCAGTGTTATGCAGTTATACTTTATTTGTATGTTATGGCCTTTTCCACTGTATTAAATATTGCGGGTAGTAGATATTTTTACCAACAAGGACTTTTTAATTTAAAAATAATTTTATGATAATCCCTTCCTTAAACAGGGCATTCTAGAAGTAGTTTAACCCTTTTACTTGTTTGCATAGCTTTATTCACACAGATAATAAATCATCAGAAAGAGCAGTTAGAAAATGTAGATAAGTTAAAATAAAAAACATCCACCTGCAATCTTCTCACCCAGGAGGTGTGTCTGTCTAGTTGCCGAGTGATATCTATCTTGTCTCTTTATATTCTTTCATGTTGCTAGAGCTAATGATAGCTAATATTTATCAGATGCTTATCATAGGCCAAGCAGTGCACTTAGCACTTGACATACTTTATCTCATTTTCCACAAAACCTCTACAGCTGTCACTATCCCAGTCTTCGAGATGAGGGGCCCGAGGCATGAGGAGTGGTGGAGGTCTGACTCCTAGTTTCTCACCCCTTTTTTCTTTTAACTTTTGATGGTGACTTAATTTCAGACTTAGAGAAGAGTTCAAGAAGGAAACAAAGAATTCCCATGTGTCTTTTATCGAGATTCCTTATATGTTAATATTTTTACTATGTTTGTTTTGTTCCCTGCTCTCTCTAATATATATACATTATTTTCCCCCTGAACAGTTTGAGTTCTTTGCAGACAGATGCCCATTATGCTAAAGTACTTCAGTGCGTATTGCTTAAACGTAAGAACATTCTGTTACATAACCACAGTTCAGTGATCAAAATCAGGACATGTTAATAAGGACAGTGATACTCTGATTATCTTATTCAGATTAGCATGGGCTGTGTTCCTCACTGGACTTCTAGTAGTTTAACCTTCTTATTCTTCATGCTGCCATCAGAGCTGGTTTTGAAATGGGGTGAATTGTATCATTTTCCATTGCAAAAAGCTTTCGTAGTTGCCCATTTCTTACAGAATTACATACAGCACGCTTTGTATACTATTCAAGGTCCCTTTTATTTATCTGGCATTCTCTGGTTAAATTTAGCAGCATAGTAGCAGTAATTACATGCTTTCCTTGGACACTATAGTGTTTTCAGATTATAAATATAAGAACTGTAAGTACTTGTAAAATCTGGTTGACAGTTGCACTTTTTAAAAAACTTTTTTGAACTTATTTAGACTTACAGAAAATTTCCAAAAATGATAGTACAGAGAATTTCCTTATATCCCTTACCTTTCTTCCCTTAATGTTAAAATACTGTGTAACCACAGTATAATTATCGAGAACAGGAAATTAACATAGGTGTGGTGTTACTAATCAAGCAACAGAACTTATTTGAATTTTACTGACTTTTCCACTAATGTGCATTTTTTTCTTCCAGTATCCTGTTTTCCACTAATGTACTTTTTCTATTCCAGGTTCCCATTCACTTCTCATTCATTCATTTCTCCTTCATCTCTCCCAGTCTGTAACAGTTATTCAGTCTTTGTCTTTCATAACGTTGATACTTTTAAAGCATAGAAAGTTGTTTTGTAGATTGTCTCTTAATTGGGATATTTCATGATTGGAGTAATCTGTGATGGAGTAATCTATTACTCCAATCATGATTGGAGTAATTTCATGATCTATTTTTGATACCTTGATAACTCACAAGTTTTGGTTCTGGTTTCAGTAATATCTATGCCATATCCTTATGTCCTCAGACTAAGTCAAAGGCCCTACTTAAATGGGGGCATATATTTATTTACTGGTTATTTTAATGCAAAGAAAATAGCATTTTTAAAACTTTGATCTGACTTTGTAAATGTTTTTGTATAGCTACTTCAGAATCTTGGTTCAGCAGTTTGAGGTACAGCTTCAGCAGTACAGACAGCAGATTGAAGAGCTAGAAAACCATCTTGCCACACAAGCAAATAACTCACATATAACCCCTCAAGGTAACATGCTTTCTGTGGTGATTTTTTTTTTTTTTTTTTGATAGCACTGTTTTTTAGTAAGAGAGAGAGGTTAAGGTGTTGTCACATAATATTCTACATAACTGCTAGTAGTTGTCTTGAGCTGCTATATAATTTCCTTGCTATTAGATATTTATTCTCCGTAAATAGAAAATGCTTTATTATGAACTGTTATTATGCTGACCAAGGCAGAAGTTTCAGGGCCTTCTCCCCTCCCCTTGATGACTGATTCAGACACCCTGCTCTCAGTCAACTCGCTGTGCTCTCTTCTCTCAGTCATGGAAATATTGATGTGATCTTGTGCCTCCTACACTTTTAGTACCAAAAACTGCACTCAAGTCATAGAAAAATAATACTGATTATGTTACATGTATATTTGTGTGATAATATAACTTTCTTTTATAGATTTGTCAATGGCTATGCAGAAAATTTATCAAACATTTGTAGCTTTAGCTGCACAACTTCAGTCTATTCATGAAAATGTAAAGGTAAGTTTTCATTACCAGTTCATGTATCTGTATATCTAGACCCAAGTGAAGTATTCATTTGCAGAGCAGAAGCATTCATGCTAATTATAGGAATAGCTAAAATTACATATAAGTGAAGAAGACTAAAACTGAAACAATCCACATTCATGCTCAGATACAATCACAGATAATATCTGTTGTTTTTTCAAAAAGATCCAAGTGTTCTGTGCAATCAGCTATCTTAACTTTTTTCAGTAGTATATTGTAAACAATTTTCTGCGTTGATATACATACTTCTTCAATATCATTTTTAGTAGTTACATAGGATTTCAGTGTGTGTGTGTATATATATATATATAATATATGCGTAGTTTCCTTACCGCATCCTGTTTGTTGGACAGTTAGGTTGTTTCCATGTCTTTAAACTAGGAGCAGCACTACAGAAAAGAAACATTCTTAGTAGCAAAAGTATTTTGTACTGCTTTAATTTTACATAGGTCTTATTTTTTTTTTTTAATTTTATTTTTAATGTTTATTTGAGAGAGAGAGAGAGAAACAGAGACAGTGTTAGCAGGGGGAAGGGCTGAGAAAGAGGGAGACAAAGAATCTGAAACAGGCTCCAGGCTCCCGAGCTGTCAGCACAGAGCCCAGTGTGGGGCTCAAACCCACGAACTGCAAGATCATGACCTGAGCCAAAGTTGGATGCTTAACCAACTGAGCTACCCAGGCGCCCCATAAATTATACCAGTTTTGAAATGAGCATGCTTTGGAGCTTTTGCTTTAATATATTTAAAATTCTAAACCAGATTTTTAAAATAGTTTTAAAGGAGGAATTTTTATCAAATTTTCTTGAAATTAGTTTATTAAAGTACTAAAGATGATTCTCTGTTGGTACTTTGAAGTCTGTGTTGTACAGGTTTTTTTTTTTTTTCCTTAATTTTTATTATGAAAGTTTTCAAATAGACACACAAAAAGAAGGGCACTGTTGTAATGAATGCCAGGTACCCACTCTCTGCTTCACCCATTATCAGGATCCTGCCTTGCTTTGTCAGTTTCCCACCCAGGGATGCTTTTTCCCCCTGGAACATTTTAAAGCAAATTCCAGACATGTCATTTGTAAGTATACATGCTTTTTCAATGGCAGTTTCTCCTCTCTGGTATTCTTATTTCTTTTTCTTTCTTTTTTCTTTCTTTCTTTCTTTCTTTCTTTCTTTCTTTCTTTCTTTCTTCCTTCCTTCCTTCCTTCCTTCCTTCCTTCCTTCCTTCCTTCCTTTCTTTCTTTCTTTCTTTCTCTCTCTCTCTCTCTCTCTCTCTCTCTTTCTTTTCTTTTGTTTTTTAGTAATGTACATTGTAATATACATTCCCAGGAACCAAAGAATGTTCCATGATCAGATTTGCCATTTATTTTCAGTTGCATTTAGTGACCAAAGTATAATTTCTAGCTTCATTTACTTACAGAAATCTCACAGGAGGTCGTTTTTTAATTTTTGTTCCTTTTGTATTGTTTTTCATGAGATAATCTGCTGAAGCAGGTTTAAACTACCTGAGCCAGCCAGGCCCCAAGGACATTAACAAAACTGGACATTTTATCAATTAACTATATAAATCAAGGCTGATAGCTGTTCTTTTTTTCTTTTCTCTCCTTAAACCAATTGTCTTTCAAGTCTCTAAGGCAGGTGATTATTTTCCAGTATCTGAAGCAGAACAAATTGATGGACTACTAATGCCAAACATTGTATGGCTATATTCATATAATTACACAGAGAGAAGAGGGTGGATTAGGGGGAGATCACTTCTAATAAAACTCATTCTTCTGACATCACATACTCTACTTCTGACTGCATTTTCCCCAGTTTTCAGTTCTTGGCAGGCCTGCTTCAGTACATTAAAGAGGTAGGAAAGTCTGGAACCAGAACATCAAATACTGACATCCACACAAAAGGGGATGATAACTTTTAAATACCATAAATAGCAGTAAGATTGCTAAGTGTTCTACCTGTTAAGACCAAAAAGACATTACTGCTGAGAATGGTAGGAAATCTGAAAATCCTATATCTTTTTAAAAAGTTGTTTAAAACTGATCAAAATTTGATTAAACCCTTAATGAAAGTATCTAATAATTCTGATGTGAGTTAATGGCCTTAATCAAGGCAGATGCTGCATTGGGTGAACGAGCCCACTTGATGAACGTGGTAATTTTTCTTTCTTACTCTGAAATTATAAACTCACTCCCCCTCCTCGTTTGGTTATGCAAGTTCAACATGAGTCATTCTCATGGTAAAATAGTCAAACAATATTGATAAAGTGAAAACCCTTTTTAAACTCTCCAAGCTGTCTCTGCTGAAGTCACTTATTTTAACACGTGTCACCCAGGCCTTTTAAAGAAGGCATTTAGCACATACATATGTAGTACATGTTTTCAGCTTTTTGCATCTAAAAGTTATCAAGAGGTTGGATGTTGGAGGGGGCAGCAATTGTGAAAAACTAGAATATTGAAAATGGAATTTTAGATGTTACTAGCTAACTCGTTTTAAAGAGGCCTCATGGAGCCAGAATGTTTTAGGCAGTTTATTGTAAAGACATGACAAAATTAGGGAAGAAAATACTCAAGAGAGCGTTAGAGCTTGCATGCATCACTTCACATTCCATGCATTAATAGCACTTTGATTTGCGCTTTAGGGGGAATGTATAGCATTGGCAATGGCAATGTCTTTGATCTGCTTATTTCCTACTTAGATTATTCCCGTATTACCAGATTCAACACAGAACTTGATTGATTAACCTTTTCTTTTTTCTTTCCCTTAGGTGCTAAAAGAACAGTACCTTGGCTACAGGAAAATGTTCTTGGGAGATGCTGTAGATGTGTTTGAAGCCAGGCGAGCAGAAGCCAAGAAGTGGCAGAACGCACCCAGAGTTACTACTGGACCCACCCCTTTCAGCAACATGCCAAACGCGGCAGCCGTTGCCATGGCTGCAACTCTTACACAGCAGCAACAGCCTGCTACAGGTCTGAATGCATTCAAGTTATAGCTTCTTACTGTTAAAATGCAGAACATTTATGTGCATTTTTATAAGTCTTCCTTTTGTGTTAGCACTGAAAAATTTCTATGAGTAGCTATTCCAGTATAATCTAAAAATTATGATGGACACAATTATAAACATATACCTGATAAAAAATGCAGGGTAGTCTTAGCAATAATTATTCATCAGTTAGATACTGAATATTGTGAATTACTTAATGTTATTTGCTGTATTGCTATAAATACCCTTTAGAACATGGTGTTTCACTACCGAATTACATTTAAGAATAACACGTTCTGAAATCGTGATTGTATCATTTATTGTTTTACAGTCAAAGCTAATTCAGCCATGATAGCATTTCTCATATATGATACTGATAGATGGTGCATTCTTGTTTCCTCATACATAGTGATTACAGAGTACCCACATTTAGGATGAAGTACATTTTTATGACTGAAGGTGTGTTGAAGATCAGTTGGTTGTTTTTATGTATAATGACTACAAACAGTACAGGTTCTTTTAACCAAATTTGGACGATAGTACATGCTAGAATTATTTGTACCTTTTCAGAATGAACAGAACAGTAGCAGGAGCAGGAAAAAGATGTTTTGAGATGCTCTGGATTGCACATTAAGAAGTATGAACTGGGAAAGCTGGGCAGATGATGAAAATAATTGGTGAGATACTAGAAAGCAGATAATTTGAGTCCTTAGTTTAATTCTACTTCTGACAAAAGAAACATTTTTTGTGGTCTAGTTCTGCAGTGTGGAGTTTGGTCCTGTGTCTTTGGGAGATTGTTATCTTTACTCCTACAGTCTCCTTTTTGTCAGGCTTGAAGTATGACAGAGAAAATACAGTCTTAATGGATATTGATTTTTTTTATTCATTCAGAAATTTTTGAGTAATGCTTATTATTATCCTATAGCATGTGTCTTTCTGAGAGTTCCATATAGTCCAAGAGTAAATTACAAAAAGTAAAAAAAAAAAAAAAAAAAAAAAAAAAAAACCCGAAAAAAACAGACATATCTAGATTGCATTCAGGCTGCCTCTACTAGGGAAACATTCTCTGGTTTTCACTATTGGCGGTTTAAAAATTGTTCTTCACATTTGGAGATGACAGAATTGACTTCCCATCAGTGAATGGCTGGTGATTGGTTTATGCCAAATCCTCCGCATTCCGTGGCTGGACCCATGTGAATAGTGGCTCATAGTGGCGCTCTCTACTAGTTCTCTAGCTGGCTGGAGTGTAGGATTCCATTCTCGAGTTGTGGAGGAAAAAAGTCATTATGGAACGGATTCCTATACTGACTTGATAGTCATACTGATTCAGTATAGGAATCAGTCCCATAATTATGATTATCAGTCTCATGATTATTTAACCAGCTAATCAAGCCAACATAGTACCAACTTACCTTTCAGAGCCAATATTAATCCTAAAAAAGATCAGATAAGCATGGGTTTTGGTTAAGTGTCCTTTAAAACATAAGGGATTTCCATTTTAATAAATAAAATAAAAAAGTCAGTTATTTAAAATGTCATGGGATAAGTGAATTTTATATTCTGTGGTATACAGCTAAATTTGAAGCAAAACCACTTGTCAGGGTTGTTACATTTTGTGTTTTGGGTTTTTTTTGGTTTTTGTTTTTGTTTTTTAATTCCTTTATGTAGACAGTCTTGAGAGGTGTGTAGGTTTTCACTCATACATTTTATGCTCATGGACATATGAAGATGTATGTTCATTCTACAAATATGAGTCCCTACTATGTGCTAGGCTCCGAGGGTACAAAGGTAAACAATGAGCTGAGTATGATGTTTGCTCTCCGTGGTGATGGAGAATGTTGGCTTAATTTAGAGTAATCATCTTGCGGAGCCTTTGCTCATTTAATTTCCTCTGTGACTTTTGCCAGGCTTCAGGGCAGCTGCGGCCCCCTGCAGTTGTGAAGCCTGTATGAGGGCTTCCCCGTTTACATTTTGAGTTGTGTGATTTTTAGAACTGAGAAGTTTAAAACAGTAGTAATAAAAATTTTGCTTTATGTCTTCTGTTTCTTGAAGGCCTTCCCAGCTCCATGTAGTGCATTCCTTTATGCGTCTTGTAGTCAGAATGTTCGTTATTTCAGTCCTGTCACCACTGCAGCGAGATGGATGAGGTCTCCTAGATACAGACCGATTTGATGAGTTACAGCCTGTTGAGAAATATTGTGCTTTGTATTCACTCGGTGACTTAATCTTTATGTCCTGTGACTTTGAGGATATCTTTTGCTTTTTAAGTGCAAATAATTTTAAAGACCATCTAGATTCAGTTAGGTAAGGCTTGTGTGCTGTTTTTATATATCACTGTTGATGTGTGCAAGATTTGAATTGTCAGGGGTTTTGCTTTTAGTTGCATATGGATTCTTCATTAATATAAAAAATGCAGACAGCTTTCTTAGGCTGCCACCTTCTGAAGGTGGTTTCTCTTGGAGGTGGAGGTATGGGTTTAAGTGACTTCTTAACTTTGGTGTTTTTAAGTGAAAAAAATATAATAGGTCTTAGGCCTGCGTGATTTATGGTTATTGTTTCTGAAGGCTGAAGAAAACTGACGAAAACCAGCGGGCTAATTATGTGTGAAATAAGCATCAGTACATGGATAAATTACATATAAGTAGATCTTGAGTACACTTGTCCATCAGTGCTTTTGAAGCCTCTTAAAAAGCTTAAGACATTTTACATTAGGATTACCAATATAATTTTAACTTAGCATAGATTGTTCTAAGCTAACGTACTGGGATTAAGTTTTGCTGTTGTGTTTTGACACTTTTAAAAAAGTTCTTGATGTTTACATAAGAAGACTATTCTCATGTGACTTAGCTGCTATTTTTAAGGAGAGCTGAGACATTTTGTTAGAGTTCCTAATTTCTAGCTTTTAGTGTAGGTTTGGACATTTAAGATGTAGTGTTAAATAGGAAACGTTAAGTATTTCATTTTAGTTTCTTGTAGTTTTCTGGTTTTGTTGTGTTTAACAACCAAAGGAACATTCCCCGTTAAATCAGTAAGTAAAATTTTTCAAATTGGGGGAAAAGGCATTTTTTGTTTTTCAGGAAAATTATTTTTAAAATATGACCTAGGAATAATCATACTAATTACATTAGATATTTTGAGTAATTATTGAAAATTATTAAAAAATTTTAGCACTTTAGTCCTTTTCCTGTGAATGCAGTTTTACTTTTAAGAAAGTAGAATTTATTCTGGAAAATATGAATTACAGTGCTGAACTTGATTTTGTTGTGTGTGAATATGTTATCCGGTAACTTTTGTAAAATGTTACTCTACGTGAAGATTTCACTTTGGGCAATTATTGGGATATATTACTACTAACTTGGTTTTATTTATGGAACTAAGCCTCTCATTGAATGACTATTCAGATTTTGAAACAGATTTCTTGAATTGTTTACGTGACTTTTGCCTGAAGGATTTAGATTCTGCTTTCTAATAGTGAAACTAATTTATATGGTGGCCAGAGTGTAATATATGCTAATACTTTGGCGTGGGAGATATTTATCATGTTTTTAATATTAAAAAATGTTATACATTTGCCTACTAGTTTTATAAATGATGTTGCCTTCAGAATTTGTGTGAAGGTACAAAACTCAAAGTATCATGTACCTGTTGTGCAATGGAAAGTCTTGTCGTTGTCAGAGTTCTTGATTACCTATATTCTGAATATTGATGATTAGGGTTACTCTTAAAAACAGACCCACACACAACAAAAAGCATGTTATTTGAGTAACTCTTAACGACTTGTAGGGTTGAGGGCTGTGGTGTGCGTTGTTCTTTAGGGCCTTCCACCAGCAGTGCCTCCTATAAACATGTGACACTTAAGTCTCTCAGTGTTAAAGAAACTGGACGTGTGTTTTCTACGTATTATTTTTGTTAGAAATAAGAAAGTAATATGTTTAGTTTCTTTTTCCTATAGTAACATTTTACAAAAGAGCTGCTAGGCAGGTATTTTATTCTCAAATTGATCTCAAACTGGATGTAAAAATTTAAATCCTTTTTTAATTTATTTTTTAATAGTAGTATAAGAACTCTGGCTGCTATTAGTTCTTACTTTTTATTTTCTGGGTAGAAGCTATTTGAAAAGTCCAGTTTCTGTCCTAGGGTAGCAAAATATAGTTCCTCGGTTTTCTTTTTCTTTTTCTTTTTTTTTAATGCTTTGTAATTGTACACTACCTTTTGAATATACAAACCTCATTCTTCATTGAACAACTTGAAGGCTTTGATTTTTTTTTGAAGAGTTTAAATTTCAATCTGTATATTACTTTGGCAGTTCCCTCAACTTTGAGATGCACTGATCACTGTGCTTGAAAAAGACAAGACTGAAGATTGTACTATGAGATTTATTGAATAATTTTCATAAATTATTTATCAAATGAGAGATTTTTAGATTTTTGTATTCTGCTTAGTTAAAGAAAAAGTAGTTAAAAAAAGAGAGGCTAGTAAGTTTGATGCTATTCTTGCCAAACAGACTCAGACAAAATCTTTAATGAATGGGAAAAGGATGACTAATAATTGTTCTGCATCTGAGTACATTTTCCAAAATGTTGGAAAGAAACTTCTGAATTGAAATCTTGAATGTATTGAATCTGTCAAGGTACACAGCGGTGCCTTTGTAAATGTTCATTATCTTATTTAATCAGGTGATAAGTGGTGTAATGTAGCAGAGCTTAATAATAGACTCAATTATCACTTTTTGTGAACAAGTTGGAATTGTCATGTTACTGTGTAATTGATTTGCTTTAAAATGAACAATAAATTTAATGAAATAAAACATTGTCTTGTTTTTTATCTACTTATTGTATATATCATTTATATTTCATATAAAAAATGCCTAGTTTTTTGGGTACTTACTCTTATGAAGTAACATGATAGTTTTGCCACGTTAGCGTCAGTCTCTGATCAGTTGAGACTTGACTCTAACGATGAGGAGCTTGTTTTAAAAAAAAAAAAGTAAAAACCTTTTACTGATTACACCAACTAATTTTATCAGAAAACAAGTGGGGAGATCTAAAATCATTTTAGAAAGAAAACCAAAAGAACTATAATTTACAATACATTAAAGATTTCAAATTATTTAGTAGGTTAAAATAACATCTTTCGATGTGCTAAGCCTCTTTTAATTGTCTAGTGTGAACAAGTTACTTAAAAACTTTTTTTTTGGTTAGGTAAATCAGGCTGGGGAGATACCTGAAAACTGGCTTTTAGCAAATAGAATTTGTTAAAATTAATCACTGTTTATTTTAAAAATAATTTCATAAAGAAATTTTAATCTTGAAAGAGTAAGGCAAATTTGTTTTTTTTCCCCCCCATTTTTTTTTTTTTTTTTTTTTTTTTTTTTTTTTTTTTTTTTTTTTTTTTTTTTTTTTTATACCAGGGCCACAGCCATCTCTGGGAGTTAGTTTTGGAACACCATTCGGCTCAGGTATTGGCACTGGCTTGCAGTCAAGTGGCTTAGGTTCTTCAAACCTTGGAGGTACACTTTAACTTTTCTAATATTGCCTTGGACTATTATACATTTGAATTGATACTAGTCTGTAAAAAATTTCTAAGAGGGTCTGCTATTTTGGTAGTCAAGGTTCCATCTGACAAAAACAGCTCTCCAAACATAATCAGTGCTTTTTAGTATTAGAATTAGAACTTAAATCATTTCATCTTCAGTGAATAGTAAATAAAAAAAGAATAGTAAAATTAATTGGTAGGGATGTTCATATTTTCAAAGCAATATGCTAAAATATGAACTTGCAAGTTACTTAGTTTTAATAAATTTAACTTAAAAAACCAGTAGTCTTAATCACATCATTTTAGAGTCCAAACTGCTTCTGGACATCTAATCATTATCTTCTTTTTCTGTAAATGAACACTTTAGATGAGAAAATAATTTTATTATAAATTGGACAGTTCAGCTTCTGTCTTTTGCTAAGCATTTTTGGCATAGCTGCCTTTATGCGTACTTGTATACATAACAGTTAATAGTTTTATAAGTTAACTCTAGTAAGGTAAGTCTTCTGCCAATCATCATGCTACATATAAACGTATTCACAGTTCTGTGGTATGGGTATTTGACAGTAGAATGTATTTTGACAAGCATATTGTCATATAATGAATATATTATTTCCACTAAAATATATCATCGTAAGAGTGGAAGTCTGTGAGCAATCAAGGTTACTTAATATAGTAAACTCTATTGGAATTACTAGAATTATAGTAGACAGCATATTTCCTATAATCTATAATTCAGTTTGCCATCATACTTCTTAGCGTCATAGGCTATAATACTGTCTCAGACTCCTTATTTTAGATAGACTATTGCAGAGTAGCCTAAGAAGAATTTGAATTTTATTTTTAGATCACTTGACTTTGAGGAGAATGGAAACAAGTCTTTAAGTACTTAGCAGAATCTCTTCTTGAACTTCATATGACGAAAAATATTTTTTTATTTAAATCATGACTAGTACTATTAAGAAAGAAAAATGATCTCCCACTCGAAATTTCTCAATTGTCAAATCGGCTGGTATGTGGCAGGAGCCTGTGTTGCTGAGTAGATTTAATGTGATTAACTGTTTTGTAATTATGCAGTTTTTCAATGGTGAAGGTTCTTAAGTGAAAAGGTTTTGGTAAGAAGCAGAGTAAAAGTTGTCTTATGGTACTTGGTGTTTAAATTCTTGTGCATGTCACGCTTACTTATGAATTTAGTTTTTTTTTTTCCCAAAATGAAATATCCCTAAGTAGATGTGTTTATATCTGTTTGACCTAACACCATATTTCAGTGGTCACTAAAATTTCTAGTCAATCTGGGAGAGAAAATACTAATACGATCTTGTTCTTTATAGCTTGTTCTGTATAAAAATTACTGATGGGTCTTAAACTTAGTCTCAATAGATCAAAATGTTCATTTCAGAATTAATCTGATTCTTCAGAAGTCTGATGCACAAGAGTAAATAGCAGGTTTGTGTAATAGCACTGTGTTTATTAGACCTCTGATAATTGTAGGTTTTACTTGTCAGTAACCTTTAATCTCTGTTTTACGTACCATTGTATATTTCTCTATTACCCTTTCACTAGGATTTGGAGCTAGCTCTGGTTTTGGATGCAGCACCACAGGGGCCTCCACATTTGGATTTGGAACAACAAATAAACCCTCAGGAAGTCTTAGTGCAGGTTTGTGTGTTTTTGGCCTGAATTTCAGGCAAATTTAAAGATGCAAATTATGTAATTTAAAAGTATAACGATTGTTATTTCCAGTAGCCAGAAGCAATCCCTGATTCAGTTTCTACCCCCCACAATGAAGCATGTAAGCCTAACTAATCATACAGTTTTATCTCTCTTGGAAACTAAAAGTCAGGTTTGTGAAATATCTCTAACAAGACTTATTAGTTTGAGATAATAAGTAATTATATCCTCTTTTAACTAAGTAGAGATTCTTTTGAACCCAAAGACTAGTTTTATGGTTAAACAAGTCTCTTCATTATTACAAAAATGGTCCCATTGTTGTGAAAGCTTTGACCCAGTGTTTGTTTGTTTAGGAGAATGATTTCTCTCCCAAAGAGATGTTCTTTAGTTGCAAGTCCCTTTGGTTTTAAAAGTCCCACTCTTATAATGGATGATTAATTGGGTTCTTTGTTCATTTTGAAATAGGTATGTAATCTTTTGACTCCTCTAGTAGAAAATCCCAAATTTCTTCTCTATTTTCTCTATATTTGTAAATAATGGCTTCATTTATAATGTTTAGGGATAAGTATCATGTCTAAAATAATGACACAATACCTACTGTGTTTAAATTGAGGGAATTTTAAGGCAACTTCATTTAATATTAAGTGGTATTTAAAATCAACAGTTCCCAAAGAGTAAGATAATAGAATTCAGTGATATGGGGATTATAATCTAAATACGGTACTATTAATAAAGTAGGCAGTGATAGCATTTGATCTTAGTTATGCAAGGGTTCCTATAAAATCAGAACAGTGGGTGCTACTCTTTGGGGTGTTCATTGTCCTGAAAATCATGGGTTGAGGCCTTCTTGGAGGACTTAGGATTACAGGAGTGGGTCCATCTTCTACATGTTGACAATATGTTTCTGGAGCGGCTGAGAAGGAAGGCAGCATGGCATATCTAATTAACAGGAAAGTACCCGGCAGCTTGAAGTTTTCTAGAGTTCAGTTATTTGTGCTAAGGTTTCTCTTGGCTTGGGTCACTAAACTTAGGTCTCTAAAGGTGCCTCTTAGTAGTTAGCTAAATTATTTTCCTATAAAATTCCATGTTACAAATTTAGTGTTCTCATATATTGGCTATTTTCATAAATATATATTCTTTTAGCTAGAAATTCACCTCTTGTCCCCATTCTTTATATTTGTTTTTGTGTTTTAACTTCTGATGTGAATATTTTCTTCCCTAAACATAAGGCTTTGGCAGCTCAAGTACATCTGGGTTTAACTTCAGCAATCCTGGCATCACGGCATCAGCTGGTTTGACATTTGGGGTGTCCAATCCTGCCTCTGCAGGTTTTGGAACAGGAGGACAACTCCTTCAGTTGAAGAAACCTCCAGCTGGAAACAAAAGAGGAAAAAGATAAACATATGGGTTGATGTGGTTGAGAGAATTCATAGCAGCGTCGTTCATTCTATGAGTCTATTTTTCTAAAATTGATGCAGTAATTAAATTGCATCCCAGGAGATTTATAAAGTTTTGATATTTTTCCCTACTCTGGAATCTGAACTGTGTTCTTGTTTGCCATGGTAAACATCTTTTTTTCTTGTGAATTTGAAACCCAGTTGTGTATTTTTCGTTATTTTTTGATGGTCAGTGTAAGCAATGTTCTGATTACATCACTGATAAGTAAAGCCTATTTAACCTAGTGTCATAGCAATGTTTTTGTTGATAAGGTTTACATGATGTGAATATATGCACATTTGTTTCTTATACAGATGGTATGAGTTCTTAAGTCCTATGCTAGAATCAGTTTGTTCCTTGATAAAGGCCTTTTGAACTACACTGCAGGGCATCTTGTGAATATGTATGTAAATATATACAGAATAATACACACAGTTGTGTGTTCACATAAAATATATATTTACAGACCTACAACTTTTGCCTCAGACTTGTTCCCCTTTTCTAAGGGTATTCTATTTTTCACCTTTTAAGCTTCAAAGCCTCAGTGCTTGTAGAGTGATGAGCTAGAGGTACCAGGTCATTGCAGTTATTTAATTTACTTACAGACTTAATGAAATGGTTACTGGTGTAAATATTTGACCCCCCAGTCTTTTCCATAGCAGCTGCTCTGAATGAGGAGTGCTGTAAGAATCATCCAACAGATTTTAACAACTTTTATTATCCCATACACCCTCACATTTGCCTGTATGAGATGTTTTCTCATATCTGAGATGAACCTTCAAGAGCATATTTGAACTCCAGACTGATGTCTGGGGGCAAAGAGCTATTAAGCCAAATTGATTCTATGCAGGTGAAGGATGCACTATTACTTTAGTGGAAACTTTTGTAGCTATTCCAGTACAGAGTTCTTTCTTATAGGGCTATTGATATTGACACCAAATGGAGTGGTTTATCAGCCTCTTAATGTCTTAAGTAAGTGCTTAATTTGGAATAGAGAAACAATATATTTTAAGAAAAAAGTATTCTTTGTAGCAACTATAAACTACCCCATTTTAACAGTGAACAGAGCTCCAGGTAAAAACACATAAGGCATGTCAGATTGCATCTGTGTAATATTTGTCTATATTAGTATTAGTGACATCGAGTGGGTGAAAAAGAAGGCCCTTGGAAAGAGAACTGCCTTAGCTATGATTTCACACAGAAACCATTAAGTAGACCTACTTTATCTTTCAAGTACAGTTTTCAAATGGGATGTGAACGTGGAATTTCATTGAAAATAGTATAATTTTTTATATAGAAGGTTTTGTACATAATGTGCATCAAGTGAATATTTTCAGAATCATTTTCACCAAGGCACCTTTTTTTCTAAAATAGGTATTACATACACACACACACACACACACACACACACATACACATATTTTTAGTATAATGTTAGTTGGGTTTGATTACTAAAGTGTTGTTAAATCTGTTTTATTTATCCGCATATAGCAGTGATTGGCTTTTTGGAATTGAAACTTTTGCGCCTTGATGCATTAAAATAAGGAAAATGCTTTGTTTTGGAACACTGAAGTTTTTATTTTTGCATTCTTCTCTAAAACTGCAATCCCCAGATCCAGATTTTGGGGAAGGGTAGGAAAACGTGGGATTTTTGTGTTTTGAATTACTGTCAGAATTAAATACCCAAATATAGCAAGCTTTTTTTTTTTTTTTAAAGGACATTGCATTGTGCTGCAAAAATCTGAATATTTATATTTCTTAATTTTGTTCTTTATATCTTATACATTTTAATATGTTGAGCCACTGGAAATTTGTAACAGATCAATTTGTGATAGGAGTTTAATGTGTTGTCATTGTCTCCAATGTCTTCACTCTGTCCTGAGCATATCATTATGTAAACAATAAAATATTATTGTGTCAGTTGCTTTGAATCTTTATAGGTGTCAGTAGTTGTTCTAAATACGTAATTTTCTTATTATTGCTCTTTTATTCTCTGTGATTGGTTTTTAGTGTTTTGTTTTTACCAACTTATATATCTTGCTTTTTAGAAAAATTGTAGAGTGAACACAAGATAGAAGGATATTGGGTAAAATGTGAAAGTCCCCTTCAGCTTCCAGGGCCTGATCGCACTTTCTTCCCCTGAGTATCTTTTCTTCATATTTCGGTGTGTATTCTTTCGAACCCTTTAAAAAATGGCCTTTTTCAACATATGCATATAAATGTTTCCGCTCTCTTGTTTTCTCACATTTATCATTCTCTTAGGTCCTTCTTTTTGTAACAAATGGGTTAAAAGAAATCTGTGTACTTTGATTTGTCTTCTTTCTCCTTTAACCATAGATCATCAACATTTTTCCATGTCAGTGCACGTAATTTACTTTTTATGTACCGTCCCGTGGCATGGATGTACAATGAATTGTTTAAAGTATTTTCTGTGGTTGGGCAATTAGGTTCTTTCCAGTATTTCTGTTTTACAGAAAAAGCTGTATGTGGCTCTTACGTTTAATGTTTCTTTGGGATTGATCCTTGAAGAGGAATTGCTGAAAATGCATATAAATTGTATTTTTTAATGCCAGATTGCCTCCCCAAACTGCTGTATAAATAATACACTTCTACAGCATGCATGAGTACCCATTTCCTAGTATTCTTTGCAACCCTAGATGTTATCAATCCTCATCATAACTACTTGTGAGTTGAACTTTTTAATATATATGTTAGCCATTTGCATGTTAATGTAATTGCATGTTGGTATCCTTTGTCCATTTTTATGTAGTAGGTTTGTTTTGGTTTTTTTTAATGCTCTCTGTAGATAATGTACGTTAATGTTTCTCTTATGAGGTAGTTTGGACTCTTGGAGTCAGCTGGGTTCAGACGCTTGCCTTGAACCTGTGTGATCTTGGGGAAGTTAATTCACTTTTCTAGAGCTTAAGCTTTATCATCTGAAAAGTGGGGATAATAAAGATGGGTAGTTGTATTAATAATAGAATCTTTTATAAAGCACTTGGATGGCATGAACCCCTGATACTTTGCAAGTTTCGCTGTTCTTGCACCAGTACCCCACTGCTGTAATCAGTGTCCTTGGATGCTTTGTTTTGGTACCTGATGGGGGAGCTGCCCCATCTTGTTTTTGTTTTTGTTTTTGTGTGGGGTGGCTATTTTCGGACACTTACTCTTTAAGATAAGCTTGAGTACCTATATTTTTCTTTCAGAGATCTTACTGGGATTTTGATTGGGTTTATACAGATGAAATACATTATGATCTGGGGAGAGTTGACATCTTAATATGTATAGCATGATATGTGCATATATTAGGGCTCTTACTCTTTCTGCAAGGTTTTACAGTGTTTATCAGATACCTGTTTAAGGTTTTACTAACTGCATCTTGGTTTTATTTCTGAGCATGGATTTTTATCCTGCACTTGGTACAAGGTCATTCACGTTATTACAGAAGCAGATTAACTGTTCTTTTGTGATGATACAGTAAACCCAAGTTAATGTCTTACTAATCTCAAATATTGTGGGAATTTGAATAGTGCTTTTAGAAATACTGTAATGGGATTTTTATGTGTGAAATACTTAGGTTTGAATGATTTATCACATTTGCTTTGACATCCCCTTCCTCCGTGCCTTGCCCTGGTCTCGCCATGCATAATCCTGGCTGCACTGTACTTTTTGGAACACACACCACGAAATTATTTAGGGGATACAACCCTGGGACTTGGTAACAGGGGGTCAATGTCCTGGAAAATCTCAGCTGGAGGGCCTAATTTCAATCTTCACAAAGTCACCTTTACCTATAGGTGTCTCCCATTTATTGAGTGTGTAACATGTCTGTTCTGGGCTCCACACTCGCAACTTTATATACTCTACCCTGTTTAATCTCAATATTACCCTATAAAGCAGAAAACTCCCAATTACTAGATGAAGAAACTGAGGCTTATTTTATGCAGTTTACTGGAGGTCACATGTCTGTCAAGTCACGGAGCTGCGGTTTTCTGCGATGACAGGAATGGCACGCTGATTTTCATGCCTAAGCCCTCAAAGTCTCCCAAGGTAATGTCATTACATGATTTATATGGAAAATTCCAGGTATGCAATGAACTATAGATCAAAGCGAGGGAAGTACAAGGGGCGCTGGCACTCGAGGGAGGCATCCGGCATCCTAGGGGGGGTGTCGTGTGAGGAGGTAGCAGGTGCGGGACTTCTGGAGCCACCTTTCCCACTGCTTCCCTGTGAAGAAGCTCCTAGAGAAGCATGAGGGGTGGTCTGCCCACCTTAGGGTAAGGGGGAGCAGTCTGGACTATCTGAATCTTCCGGAAGGTAAGCAGTTTAGCAAGAAAGCTTTTCCAGGAAGGCTGGCCTGACTCCTGTAACCCAAGAGCACCACATGCTCAGAACGGGTGAGACTCGACCCTTTTCTTGCCTTACAGAGATGAACCTTACCTGGCACAAGGAGACCATGGAAATGGGCAAGAAGTTCGGGTGCTGAGGGACAGCAGCAGATTGAGGAAAGAGTAGGGGTTACTGGACAAGTTGGTCCTGGGCCAAATGTGGTTGGTTTTTGTTTTTTTTTTGTTTTTTTTTGCCTCTTCCTACTTTACTCAGTCTAATGCACTCTTTCTCTTCTACCTAATCTGTCAATTAAGAACAACGAAAAACCTACCAGGCTCACAAAGGTCGCAGTCCTGAAGACTGGGCTGTAAATTTCATTTGCAGAGACCTTGTTTTTGTCGTCCTCAACCCTTTGAATCCCCTGGTAGCAAGTCAGTTAAATTCAGTAAAACATTTGTTAATATTTGCTGTGTGCAAGTCAGTGCTGGGAATTTAGAGGAATATAAATAGCAATGGGGTATTTTCTGTGCTCAGTAATGTTAGCTAACATCAGTGCTAAGCGGAGGCAAGGGCCTGCTCTTAAGAGCTTTCCATACATGAACTCATTTACTCCTTAGTCCTATGAGGTAGGTA